CTGAATGTCAAAACCATCTCAGAAGAACAAACTGGAGGGGAGGGGTGAGCAGGGAGAAAAGTGCAACAATGAATGAGTCAAACCCAAAATCTCTGTAAATTTTCATTAATTAATTAATAATAATAAAATAAAACAACTTATATTAAAAAACCATCTCAGGAACATGTTTCAGGCCTTGAACACTAATGAGTGAAGACCAGATGAGCAGTGGAAAGATACCAAGAATGTCATCCAGAAAGAAAGCAAAAGGTCATCGCAGACAGAGAAGGAAGAAAAGACCAAGACAGATGTCAGAAGAGACTATGAATAGAGCTCTGAGAAACCAAAGCAAAGGGAAGAAATCAAGAAATTAAGGAGCTGAACAGAAGATTTCAAAAGGCAGTGTGTAAAGACAAAGCCAAAGTATGCTATGAAATGTGCAAAAAACACTAGAGTTGGAAAATCAAAAGGGATGAACTCGTTTGGTCTTTCTTAAGCTGAAGGAACTAAGAACAAATTCAAGCTTGAGCTGTGATTCTTAAGGATGCTGAGGGCAGAGTATTAAACAATCCAGGAAGCCTTAAAAGAAAATGGAAGGAATATATAGAGAGTCACTGTACCAAAACAAACTGGCTGACACAGAAGAATTTCATGAACCAATATAATCAAGAGACAATGGTGATGAAAGAGAAAGTTCAAGCTGCTTTGATGGAATTGGCAAAAAACAAGGCCTCAGGAATTGACAGCATTCCAATTGACATATTTAAACAAACTAGTGCTGCCCTGGATGTGCTCACCAGGTTGTGCCAAGAAATGTGGAGAACTACCATCTGGCCAAATGCCTGGAAGATATCCTATTTACTCCTATCCCCAAAAGGGTGATCTGACAAGAGTGTGGAAATTATGGAATAATATCATTAATATTTACACACATATAAAATCCTGCTGGAAATGATAAAAAAATTGACTGTACATTAACTACCAGAAATATAAGCTGGATTTAGAAGAGGCCATGGCGATAGAGACCTTATCACCAATATCAGATGGATCTTGGCTGAAAGCAGAGTACCAGAAGAATGTCTATCTGTGATTCACTGACTATGCAAAGGCATCTGTGTGGATTACAACAAATTGTGGCTCACCTTGAGGAGAGTGGAAATCCCACAAAACATGAGTTTGCTCATACAAAACCTCTACTTGGACCAGGAGGCAGTTTTCAGAAGAGAGCCAGGAAACACAGCCTAGTTAAAAATTAGGGAGTGTGTCAGGGATGCATTCTGTCTCCATAACTTTTCAGTCTATAGGTGGAATAGATAATTTAAAAGGGTGGAATTTATGAGGAGGAATGTGGCATCAGGACTGGAGGAGACTTGTCAACAACCTTTACTATGCATATAATACAACCTTGTTTTCTAAAACAGAGGACATGAAGCATTTGCTGTAGGAGGCCAGGGACTGTAGTCTTCAATATGGATTGAAGTTTAACATCAAGAAGAAAAAGATTCTCAACACTTGGGCCAACTGGCAGCACCATGAAATGGAGGGGAGATTGAGGTTAACAATTTTATCTTTCTTGGCTCCACAATCAACACTTTCGGCACCAGCAGTCAGGAAATCAAAAGACAAATTGCACTCATGACATCTTCTGTCAGGGATCTCTCCAGAGGACTGAGGAGCAAAGACATAGTCTAGAGACTAGGGTGCGCCTGATCCAGGCCATGGTCTTCACAATGACATGCTATGTGCATCAGAAAACTGGACAGTGACTAAGGATGACAGAATAACTGATACCTTTGAGGTATGGTCCTGGAAAAGAGTACAGAACATACCCTGGACAGAGAAGAACAAATATGTCAGTCTTGAAGAGGGTGAAACCAAGTTTCTTCTTGGAGGTAAAGCTGTTGAAGCTCCATCTCACATACTTTGGTCACATGGCCAGTCCTTGGAGAACAACATCATGCTTGAAGGGTGGAGGGACATCACAGAAGAGGAATACCTCAGATGAGATGGTTAACATGGTCACTGGGGTGATGGGATTAGGTGTGTCAGAATCAGTGAGACTGGCTCAATAAAGGGCAGGTTTCAGAGCTATTATCCGTAGGGTCGCTATGAGCCACAGGCAACTCAAAGGCACGTAATAATTCTATTTTTAAAAATTTTTGGTCATGGACTGTTAAACTGATTTCATGATCCACCAAAGGATTGAGACCTATGGTTTAAAACCACGATCTATGCAAATTTTGGTTGGAACTCAAACCAATTTTTCAGAACTGTGTTGGCCATTTTCTTCTACCTTTAGTGTATCTGGCACACATTTTGAGCCCCTAAAGGGAAATGAACTGAGTACCTTACCCCAAGTTTTTAGGAAAAACTATCCAGTGAGCACTGAGGAATGAACTAACAGAGACACCTGATGACTAAATGACTATATGAAGAGTCCAGCACTATTTTTTAACAGTCAGGAATAGGACACCACTTTGCAGGATGTTTCTAAGAGATGAACTAGGTAAGAAGACACTCATTGGTATATTACTGCTATGCTGCAATCCCGAAGGTGCATGGTTTGATTCCAGCAGCTGCTCTCTAGGAGAAGGGTGGGCAATCTCCTCTTGTGTGATTCACTGTCTCTGAAAACCAGATGGAGGGTCACCTATGCAACAGTTCTGACTTGAGGGCAAACAACAACATCAACTTAGAAAAAAAAGTCAGCTAGAGTATTGTGATAACAATGTAATTTTAGAGGAATTTTTTTATTTGGAGGCTATAGGATAATTTTGTGATGATGTAGATTATGGAAGAGGAAAGGGTAGGAAAAACAGGAGGGTGGCAATGGTTATTAAGATACTAGAAGGCAATTCATCTGTACTAACGTGAATGTCGGAACAATCCCAGGGCCTTGCTAGCATGAAGGAAGCAGCACTCTAAACAGCTCACAGTTAACCCGCCAATGGATTTTCAGAGGTAGTTTAATCATATGGGAGGAGACTGCCTATGTTTCTCCTGCAGAGCAGTTGGTGGAGTTGACCTCCCTTACCACCAGAGCTCCTTAGTCAATGTATAAACTCTAACTCTATTAAATACTTACAAGGTGATGTGGAAGCCACTGAAGAAGTACAATATACACACTCTTTGGTTCAGAGAGTATGCAGAAATCACCAACTTTTGCATTAGCAATTAAAGTTGTTCTTTCTAGTGATCAAAGTTTTTAAGCAGAGTTGGCAGAGAAGACCTACCTCTGCAGTCACCGACCAGAATAGGATGTGCTAGAGCCCAGGCTACAGCAATCACACAGAGAGAAATGACATGATGTGCAGACCTCATTCCACAGCAACTTCCAAAAGGCAAATGGAAGATTCAAGTTCTCAGGCAGAGAGCAAAATGGCCAACGATGCCGCAATCATGGAACCAAAAAGGGTAATGAGAGCACTGAACAGGGCAATACAGTGCCCCAGTGGAGAACAACTGGAAGTAAGCCTTTGGACTTCCTCTCCTCTTTAGTTCATTCTGACAGATGAAAAACTGGAGAAGCTCAGTAAGAAAAAAATGTGTTACCTCTGAACAAGAGTAATCATGGGAACACACATTATCATGAAGTTTAACATTTGCAAACTTTTGGTCCATTTTATGTTCAGCAATAAAAAAACCCCAATCTGTAGCAAATTACTAATAATAATGTGTTTTTGTAATGAGAAAGTAATCCTATAAAGGAGGAGAGATGTGACCAGAAAACAATACAGTTAAATACAGTATGGTATGTTGTTTATTAGAGCTTTTACAACATATTAAGGGTTTGGGAACTCCAAGGCAATTTTCACAAACATCAGCTAGACAGAGAATTCCAACAATTCATAACCATTGGCCAGCACATACAACATGCATCAATACAGTGTATTATTAAAAAACTAAATAAGACATTGCATCATTTTATTCTGGTTCACAATCATATATATTCATCTCTTTTGAGTCAAAAAGGTCCATTAATATTGAGGTACAAATATCTTGGACAAAAATCAAGAAAAATTTCCGTGGCCTTATCTTCACTATGATTTTTGTTCAGATGAACTCTATGTGGAGAAGAAGGATTCTCACTTGAAAAAATGAAGAGAAAGCAAACTAGATATTCTCAGTTCTAAATCCAAGAGGACAGATTACTGAGTTGAATTTTAAAGTGCATTTACTTCAGAGAGAAGATGTCTGTTCACTGTACTTAAGATGTTGGGAATTTTGTTTATTTCATTTTACTAGTAAGTTGAAAGTATGTATTGTTAAGGCTTCCAGAAGTATTCCAAGAAATGAAGAGTTTATGGAAATATGACTTACAAAAGAAGAACCCAGAAAGTTGGCACCAGGAATTCTAAGGCTCCAAAATTCAGAGAAGGGCTTTCCCTTTTAAGCTTGATACTCATTTCCTCAACCCTTTTTCATGATGAGGGATATTTAATGTATTTCATCTTAAGAGACTTCTTTTCAGTTATGCTATGCATTTTAAGTATAATTCAACTTTCCATAATTAAAAATAATATCAAAATATTTCTCAGTAATTAGAACCTCATGTTTGATTTGGTTGTTTGCCCATCATTCATTCAGGTAGTCTGAAGTACACATGACAGAAGTCTGAAATGTGCAACAGGAGCATTAGATTTAGCGCCACGTGAAGGGTACTTTTGGGTGACTTCACCACCGCAGAGAATCACCTGGAGGAAATATTTATGACTCATAAGAAAAATTTCTTCTTTGATAAAATAATTGTAATTTAAACCAGATGAATGATTCAAGCTGGAAAAGTAAATGGATTCCCAGAGGACTGAAATACTTTAATCACACAGCCAGATGACCTGATTCCAGCTGAACTGAAACAACAACAACAAACACTCATTTAGTAATTAGTCAGCCTGTTTAGTAATTACTGGGTATTTGAAACACTTCCATGAAATGCTTCTCAAACAGACTCTGCAAGGTGCAACCAAAAAGGCTTTGGACGTCATAATGACTTATTGCTGTGTCTTCAGCAGAATTTACTATCAGAGGCTTGGGGAAGGTTCTCTTGCTTCTTCCAGCTTTGTTAGGATCCACTGTGGTAGAGAAACAAAACATTATTTGTTTTCTTTGATAAACTTACAATGAAATTTAAAATGTAAACAAATGAAAATCCTAATGCTGTTAAGTTAGCTGTACAATGCCCACTTAATCATACCTACACGAGTGATCACTCACTCACTTAAACGGCCAGCTGGCTTATGAACAATGGTATCGCATGTAAACAAAAGGGGTGGGAACCTCAAACAAACCAAAACTCAAAGTTTTGAATGAGAAAAGTAGAAGATGCTATTTCACAAGTGGACTGAATATTTATGATATATTATGAAAATTATCTCTGTAAAATTTCTTCTAATCTGTTAATTCCATATCACAAAGCCTTCAAAACATAGAATGATATAGCAATGCTCTTCAGCAGGCTAGTGTTCTTATATTTTCTATTCTAAAATAATTTGCAATCACAAAAATATGATGGCAATAGAATGTGAAGTTTTCTGCTGATAGGTTATGTATTATTATGCCTACATACATACAATAGCCACCCGGTTCTTTAAGCTTTATAACGAGATGGTACAACTTGCTTTAATACAGAATAGTAAAAAACAATTTTGGAGAACACTTTAGTTACACATGCAAAAAAACTATCAAAATAAACACACAATTTTAAAACTTTTGCAAGAAAGCGCCTTTGAAACAGTCTAATTACATGGCTTTGAAATGAGATGTTCTTAAGTTAATGGAAATATTCATTTATTTACCCTAGCATCCTCTGGGGTCTTGAAGTTAATGATTTTTCCAAACTCTTTTGCATGGAATACAGACTTCACTCGTTCCTATGAAAAATAAAACACATAACATCACTAAAAACATTATGAGTTTTAGAAATATAATAAAGAAATACCACAATTTCATAATCTTTGGATGCCTAAAGCATCCAAACCTGAAAAACAGTATAAAAATGGGTAACTAAGAATAGTAACATGTATAAAGAAAAAAGAAAGACTAAATTCTAACATTACTATGAGACCTAAAAAGCGTAAGGTGAGATTCCAAGTGTCAGAGCCATAAAAGGCTGATGTACAGGCTGGAAGGAGGGCAACAGTGCCATTTATTTTCCTCTGCAAATGGTTTCTCATATGATTCCTGATCTTACTACCACATCATGCTTGAGTGTAGCACACAAGTAACACATGTATATGCAGTTGTGTGAATGTATGCATTCATCCAGAGAGACAACTCAAGAGGGGCCCTAGATCCTATGTGATTATCCTCAGCTTTTTAGACTCTGTGGCATTCTGTTTATTATTTGTGAAGTATAACAGTCTGACAGTCTATCTGATGAACAAATAGCAAATAGTGAGCTTACTGAGGAAGCGGGTGGTAACTGTCCCTGTATCTAGACATAAGGGGTATAGGAGAAGTAAGACTGAGGCTTCATTAGTCTAATAATTTTTATAATAATACGTACATGAAATGTAATCTATCACATGTAATTAAAATCATGCTGAAGATTATAAAAAAACGACTTGAACAGCACACTGACAGAGAATTATCAGAATTGAAAGCTGGATTTAAAAGAGAGTGTGGCACTACAGACATCACAGGCAATGTCAGATGGATCTTGACCAAAAGTAGACAGTAGCAGAGGAATGTGTATCTGTGTTTTATTGACTATGCAAAGACATTTGACTGTGCGAGTCACAACAAATTGTGGCCAATTTTGAGAAGAATGGGAATCCCAGAAGACATGATTGTGCTTATTTGAAACATATACTTGGACCAGAAAGCAGCTGTCAAAACTGAGCAAGGAAATACTGCATGGTTTAAAGTCATGAGAGGTGTATGCCAGGGATGCATCCTGTTCTACATACTTTTTCAATCTATATGCAAAGCTGATCATTCAGGAGGCTGGATTTCATTAGGAGGAATATAGTATCAGGATTGGAGGAAGACTCAACAGCCTACATTATGCAGATGACACAACTTTGGTTGCTGAAGTGAGGAGGGCCTGAAATGCTTGTTGTAAGAGGTCAAGAACTGCAGTCTTTAATATGGATTGAAGCTCAACATCAAGAAAACAAAGATAAAAAAAGAAAGAAAGATAACTAAGAAGATTCTTACCACTGGGCCAATTGGCTGTACCATGACAGATGGAGAAGAGATTGAAGTTGTTAACAACTTCCGCTTCTTTGGTTCCACAATCAACACCCTTGGCACCAGCAGTCAGGAAGTCAAAAGACAAATTGCACTAGGAAAGTCTGCTATCTAGGACCTCTCCAGAGTGCGAAAGAATAACGATGTCAGTCTGGAGACTAAGGTCCACCCGAACCAAACCATGATCTTCGCAATTACTTGCTACACATCAGAAAGCTAGACAATGAATAAGGATGACAAGAAAAATCGATGCCTTTGAGCTCTAGGGCTAGAGAAGAGTACTAAACATACTATGGACTGCCAAGAGAACAAACAGATCTGTCCTGGAGAGGGTGAAGCCAAGTTACTCCTTGGAAGCAAGGTTTTGAAGCTCTGTCTGACCTACTTAGGGCATGCTGCCAGAAGGAATCAGTTCTTGTAGAAGGACATCATGCCTAGAAGGGTGGAGGGACAGTACAAGAGGGGAAGACCCTGGATAAGACAAATTGACATAGTAACTAGGGTAATGGGGGTAAGAGTGTTGACAACAGTGACACTGGTTCAGGACAGAACAGGGTTCAGAGCTATGGTGCCCAGGGTCATTATTAGTTACAGGTGACTCAATGGCACATAACAAGAAGACACTTCTATGAATTAATAAATAATTGATACAATGTCTCAAACAGATTAAAGGAAGAAAGGATGTGAGGTCAAGATTTATCCTCAGAGCAGGAAAAAGATGTGGAAAACCAAAAATAGTATAAACTATATCTCTCAGGACCTTTCATTTTCTGAGTGAAATACAGAAAATTCACAGAGGATAAGTTGGTTTAAGATCTTTAAAACTAGTATCCAGTATATCAAAAAGGGTGCCCTGGTGAACGAGAGGGTGAGCAGTTATGCTGCCAACCCAAAAGCAAGAGGTTTGAATTTGTCTACTGCTGCAAGGGAGAAAGGTAGGTAAACTCCCCCCTTTAACTTAAGCCTCTGAAAGACCTCTGGAAGGTCAGCTGTTAGTTCTGACTGGAATGCAATGAGTTGTTTTGTGTTTTAGTATACTCATAGATGCTCCATATGTTGAGGGACTATTTAAATGTGTTCTTTTTCTGTTCAAATTAAAAATAAAATCCATCTGCCATACCTTGGCCTCAATGCGCAGTCTTCTCCCATGAATGATGAATGGTTCTTTAGTAAACTCATCAAAAGTGTATTGCCACTCACATGTAAGCTGACCAAATGTTCCTTTGGTTACAAAGAGTACTCCTCTGCAAAACAAAGAAAACAAACATCCTGAAAAACCCAGAATTTACTTAAGACTTGAAATTTATATCCAAAAATTTACATCCAATACCAGAATATACTTTTAAAAAAAATACATGGAGTTGTACAGTTTGATGGAAGTGAGGGTGAGGGAAATGGGAAGAATGTGGTGTGTAAAAAAAAAATGTGTCTGAATTCTGTAAATAGTATAATAATATTTATGTGGCTCAATTATCACGATAGATTATTTTCTGGATCCTAAAACAGAAACCAAATAAATGAAAATGGAAGGAAGTGGGGGAGGGAGGAAAATGTGCAGCAATAAACAAAGGAAAACCCAACCTTTCTGTAAATTTTCATTATATTTACAATTTCTAAAAACTAGGAGTGGGGAAAAAACCCCCCCCAAACAAAGTGGCCCTTTTCCTACCCTTTTCCTTTTGGGTCATAACCTCAATTGTTGGTACAAGAGGGTTCTTTAAGTAACATACACTTGACATTAAAGGGGAGAATTAAGCAAACAGTTCCTGACTGGGATGTAAAAGGTGAGAGTTAATCAGGACTTGTCTCTTTCTCATCTATCCTTTGTCTCTGATCCCCTTTCAGCAAGTTCTGAACTTGGGAGCTTGGGATGTTGCAGTAAACCTACTAGTGCCCCTGTACGGCTCCAAATGTGTGGGTGGAAAAAATCAAAGAGAGGCCAATACCACAGCAGGTACCTAGGACTTGTCTCTCATGCTTCAAACATCCTTTACCTTCAAACCCAAAACTTGGAAAGGAGGGAAATCCTAAAAGTAAAGATTGCTGCTCAGTCAGTGGAAATCTGACAGTGATTTCAGCAATGACATTTTATGGCGTGAAGGTCTCTAAACATCAAACCAAAAACCCACTGCTGACTTGCAGCAGTGCTGTAACACCGAGCAGAAGTGCCTGGGGGTTTCTGAGGTTGTAATTCTTTACACAGAGGCAGAATGCTACATCTTCCTTTTGGAAGCAGTGACGGGTTCAAAACACTGACGTTTGGGGTTTGCAGCTGAATGCACCACCAGGGTCTTCTGACCAGGTCCTTAGGTGGTGCAAGTGGTTGGACTGCTAAGTTAAACTGCATGTTTGAGCCCACCTAGCAATGGGTACTTCTGTTAAGACTGTAATTGCTTTTGAGAACTTTCAAGTTGAAACTGATCTCTAGCTGGCCCTCCAGCGAGTTTTCAGAGGCAGTAAATTACACAGGAGGAGAATGGCCATCTTTCTCCCTTGGAGCAGCTGGTGGAGTCCAGCCATGTACCTTTGGGTTGGTAGTACAATACCTTACTACTAAGCCACCAGAGCCGAAAAAACCCTATACAGCAGTCATACATGTGATTATGAGTTATTAGGTTGAGAAGAAAATTTTTTAAACGTTTCAAAACTTGAAAACTAATCTGCTACATTCTTCTAGATGGTATAACACTGGTCTGTCAATTTGCTATACAGAGGTAACTTGTCATTGCTGTGATGCTCAACAGTATGACCCTGATATGCCAAATGCGATATTGGTCACCTATGGCAGACAGTATTTGGTAGAGCTCGCAGATTAATACAGGCTTGGAAACAGAAGTGGCATCCACTTCCGAAATAGCCTGCCCTGGAAACCCTATGAACTTGGAGAAACAAAGAAAGTTATACAAGTGTTCAGGTCCTTTGTTCACAGGGTCGCTATGAGCTGCCTATGACTCAGCAGCATTTAACAACAACAATACACTTCACAGTTGACTCCTGCTTAACTTGTGGAGTCATTCTTCCTTTAGTCATTGAGGGAAGATGAACACACAAGGATCAAAAACTGCCATGAACAAAACAAATGAAGTATCACCTGTAATTACAAAAGCTTAGGAAAGCTTGCATGTAAATGACAACATCCTCATCTAATGAAATACCAGGTCCTGGGAGCACCGGACTACTAGCTGAAAGGCTGACGTGTGAACCCACCCAGAGGAAGCCTGGAAACAGGCTTGGTGATCTTGCCCTTTGGCCATACAGTCATGCTCTACCACCCCCTAATCTCCACCCTAAAAATGCATCTGCTCCCACCTTCCCTTAGTTGAACTTTACCTTCTCTGAACACTTGCCTAGTGAAGCTAACCCCATCATCTTCGAGTAGATTATGACACTAGAGGATAGAGCAGTACTGCTCCTAAGAGTTTCTAGGCTGGAATTGTTACAGAAGGTAGATCCAGTGGTCTATTGGGAAGGAGTATAGCAGGATGTCTGAGTCCACCAGCTGCTCCATAGCAGAAAGGTGGGCAACCTCTTCCTGTGCAATTCACAGCTTCTGAAAACCCACTGGAGGGTATGCTATGAGTTGGCTTCAATTCAACAGCAGATAAACAACAATCTTAACAGAAGCAGACTTCTGCATATTTCTCTTGAAGAGCATCTGATGGATTCCAATTGCCAATCTTCCAATTGGCAGTCAAGCACGTTAACCACTCTGTTACCAGATAGAACTTTTTTCTTTCCCCATGTATTCTGCATATATTGCACTACTGTCTCCAGGTCTACCTGAAGATGAGATGTGATTAGTAGTATCCATACTGGATCGATCTGTTTCAATTACTCTATTTTTTAAGTGGTAATCTCTATGCCATGGTCTTTGCAATCACTTTGTTATGCGTCATAGAGCCAGACAATGACCAGGGAGGATAGAAGGAGAATTGGTGCTTTTGGGCTTTGGTGTTGGAGAAGAGTGCTGAGGGTACCATGGACTGCTAAGAAAACAAACAGATTCATCCTGGAGAGGGTTAAACCTGGCTGCTCCTTGGAGGCAAGTATTCTGAGGTTTCATCTAACACCTTGGAGAGGGACATCATGCTTGGGAGGGTGGAGGGCAGGCGCAGGAGGGAAGGCCCTCTGGGAGATGGACTGATTCAGTGACTAGGGTAATTGGGATGAGTGTGTTGAGACAATGAGATTGGCACAGGACAGAGTTTAGGGCTGTTGTACATAGGGGCGTTATGAGTCGCAAGCGACTCGACGGCACATACACAACAACAATTTCTATGCATTGTGCTATATAACTACCACCATGGCACTGCTAAAATTATGAGCCTTCTCAGAGAGCTGTGACACACTCAGGGGGAATTTCAGTTCTGTGGTAACTGAATGAAACTAAAACCACAACACGTAACTTAAAATCATGTTTGCACATGCCAGTGTGCACACACAAGGTTAACAAGTACTGATGGAGGTGTCAGGAACAAATCTGCAGGGCACGAGACCCAGCTGGCAGGAACCACTGTGAGGACCGGGGAACAAGAAGGTGATGAGCGACTGTCATCTCACGAGCAGTTGTCCGTTGATCTTTTATGAATTACATTAGGAAAAGATGAAAAAATGTTACCTCTTAGTTATCATAAACATATCTGTTTTGTTGATCATGACATGAGTAAAGTATCTATATTTTGCAAATCTTCCATTTTCCATGACCTAAAGGGAAAAAAAGGAAGAGAAAGAAATCTATAATTTTACTCTTGTAACACAAATAATGCTTTATAGTCTTCTAAAAACCATTTATCAGTGAAGAAAATAATATATTTGTACAGCAAATATACATATATAAGGAAATGGAATGAAATTCATAAAATTACTGTTTTGTATTTTAATTAAAAATTACACTGAAGCCACATTAACCTTTAATGTTAAATTTTCAGAATATAACTACTATTTACCAAAGTTTACATCAACTTTATCAAGATTAAATGATATTCAATAAAAAACAGTTGTGTTGAATAACATATATATTAAAATATACCTTTACATGACTACATATTTAAACACACTATGACAGTTATGATTGCCCTTGCCTTGTCTCTTCTGAAAATTTTCCATATGCCTTACACATACAACTTTCTTTGTCCATCTCACAATTCATGCACAAACAAGGAACACTTTCTGTGTCCATATGGGATGTCCTAGTCTTTATTTTCAAGACCACTGAATACTTGTCTATCTACAGAATATCTATCAATGAATCTTGGCTGCAGAAAACACAAGATAGCCAAATGAATCAGACTTGCTATTTTTATTCTGTCCTTACTTAACACCACTTGCTCTGAGGATGACAATAACCTAGTTATCTAAATTGGAGAGCAGCCTAAACGGCTATTTTTAACAGGTTTGAGATAAATATGACTAATACTACTAAAGAATTATTAATAAGAACCAAAATTAATAATTGTGACTAACATTAATCAAGAAATGGCATGTGAAGAAAGTAGCAACAATTTTAAAAATCTTGAGGAAATTCCAAAAGACAAAGAACAATGTAGGTAGAGACTGTATAAAATTATGTATCCTGGGTTGCTGTTGTGTATTGTGGGTTAGGAACTGACCTATAAGTGACACTCCAGCAGGTTTTCAGAGGTAGTAACTCACATGGAAGAAGACTGCCCATCTTTCTCCTTATGGAATAAGTAGTGGATTTGAATTGTGTACCTTTAGATTGGCAGCACAATTCCTTATCACTAAGCTACCAGAACTCCATGTTAAACTATCAATAAAACAAAAATTGTTTAGCCCAGAATAAAGCTAAGAAAATATGTTATAATAAACTTGGCATAAGAGACTATTAGAATCTGACAGAATGGCCATTTCTATTGATTAAGAGGTACAATTTAAAAACAAAAAGGTAAAACTAAAACAATAGGATGAGATACAGATTATTGTATGAATTTCTAACTATAAAGATTACAAAACATGAAAAAAATGGTGATTTAAATATTTACCATCTATCAAGCTGGGCAAGTAAACACACATGGAATTAAACTGAAAGGGAGACATAATCACAGTTTAAGGAAATGAAAAATTGCCTTTAGGTAACTTACAGCATTAGAAATAATGGATGCTTAAAGAGAATATAATTTATTAAAAACAAAGAAGCATCAACTATTTGAGAGGAAGGACAGAAATAATCAGTAAACGATAAGATATGGGGAAACCCAAGTACACAAAATCCAGGACCTTTATTTTACAAACACAATAATAAACCTGATAAATAGAAGGAAAAATTGTCACTTAAAGTAGTAATAAAAAGGTGAAATGTATGCAGTAATATAAGCAGTTAATGTGAAAAATTTGTTAATAACATTATTAACACTGACGGGGGAAAAACCCCTCATTATGTGTCTTGTTTTCAGATATAAAAATTCATTCTTATTTTCCCTTAAACCCCACTTTTGTACACACATAGAGTTTGGAAAAGTGGAAGATTAGTGTCAAAAAGAAGACCCAACAAGAAAATCTACAGTGTCTTGCAACAATAGGCTTAGCAGAGACTGAGAGGATGGTGCGGGACAGTTCCAAATCTGTTCACTGCGTCTCAATGAGTTACAGCTGACTCTACATCTAACAACACGACCAACACCACACACACACACACAGGTACAATTTAATGTTGTGCCAAGACGGCTGTGGGTTTTTTTGGGGGGGAGTGTAAGAATGAGGGTTGCAGAGTGGATTATATTTGGGGTTGGGGGATATGCGGGAGGAATTGTGTACCAATGAGGGAAATTTTCTTTTGCTTTTCAAGGAGAGGAGCAAAGTGGGGGGGGGGTGGGGTGGGCAGGGAGAAAAGTACAACAATGAATGAATAGAAATCCAAAGTCTCTGTACACTTTCATTAATTTAAAAAAAAAGACTTCGCAGTATACTATCATTTACTTAGAAAAGCAAACATGAAAATATCCAAGTAAATTATGAAAAAAGAATTAAAACTATCCTAGTAAATATTTTTATTAATGAAACAATTTCTGTGCTGATGGAAGTGTTATACAGTCACATCAATAGAAAGAATACAATTTCCACAAAAAGGTCAAAATTTATATAAGGAAAAGACCTTCAATTCATTGTTATCAAGTTGGAACCAATTTATAGCTGACCTTCTAGTGGGTTTTCAGAGGCATTTAAAATTAGTAGGCAAAATCATATAACAATTAAATAAAGTTTCAGTTAGTTAAAGTCGAATTATCTACTTTTTATAATAAAGTAATGCCACAAAGATTACTGATTTAAGTATATAAAATGAAACTATAAGAACATGAGGAAGAGACTATAATCCAATAATCTCATTGTGGGTTAGGCCTAACCACAGTCCAGAAAACTAAATGCATAAATATTGCTAAGTACACAGAAAGTAACACTAGATGTATCTATGAAGGTGTTCTGGTAGCCTCATGGTAAGAAGCTGTGCGGCAACCCACAAGGGATGTGGTTCCAATCTACTAGCTGCACCATGAGAGACAGATGGACAATCAACTTCCATGCAATATATTGCCTCTGAAAACCCACGGGAGGGTCAGCTATAAATTGGTTCCCACTCAATGGGACACAACTGATGATTCTATGAGTTGTACTTGACTTATCTAAGAACAAAAACAGAGCAAGAAAAGAAAAGCTAGGATTTATATTATGCAAAATTATGCCAAGATTTATATAGATAAGCATGCTCATGGAGCTATGCTACAAGCAAAATCTAAATGTTCTTTAGTTAGAAAACTGGGTATATAAATTGTAATATAGCCACGCAGTAAAACATCATGAAATCATAATGGGTAAAAATTGAGGGAGATCAGTATTTATTGATAATTAGGCGTTCAAGATACATAAGGAAGGAAAAAACGCAAACCAGATATATCGGGGGAGGGACCCAAACAAAGAAACCAAACATTTACATATGTATAGTGAATGGGAAAGTACACATCAAACTGTTAGAATACTTAACCTCATAGTTTGGGGAGGATGCTGTTGACATTAACAAGCTTCCTTTTTTTGACTTTGCATTCTTTTAGTATTTGAAAATAAATTAGCTTATAAACAATTTTTGTTCCATATAGCCAGATTTTAAGTTAAGAATATCACTACTACTAAAGTCAAGAGTCTACTACTACTACAAGAGTGGAAGGCCCTGTTATTTAAAAGTTGGGTTGGCCCTAAGTCTCCAGGTTGGGGGCTAATGTGTGAAGTGGTTGGCTTCTGGAAGGTGGAATGATTTATGTTGGTTTAGAGTTGGGTGTGGACTGTTTGGTCGTTTTTCATTTGTTGGTGTTGTGTCTGGGACTAACATTCTTCTAAGTGGTACAGCACTGGTCTGACAATTTGCTGTACTGAGGTAACTTGGGGTTGCTGTGATGCTGAACACTGTGCCACTAGTGTGCCAAATGCTACAATGGTTACCCATGGTGGACAGTGTTTGGCGTACTGCCCAGATTAAGACAAGCTTAGAAGCAGGAGTGGCATCCACTTCCTAAACAACATGCTTCTGGAAATTCTATGAACTTAGAGAAATTATGATAGTTATAGAACAGGGTTCAGGTCTTTTGTTTAAAGGGTCTCTATCATCCAATATGCTGGGCTGTACAAGGAGGAATGTGGCATCAGGATTGGTGGAAGAATCAACAACCTGTGTTACGCGGATGACACAATCATGCTTGCTGAAACTGAAGACCTGAAGCGCTTGCTGCACAAAGTCAAGGACTACAGTCTTCAATATGGATTGAAGCTCAACATCAAGAAAATAAAGATTCTCACCACTGGGCCAAGTGGCAGCATAAGTATGGATGGTGAAGAGATTGAGATAGTTAACAGTTTTTATTTACTCGGCTCCACAGTCAACACTCTTGGTAACAGCAGCCAGGAAATCAGGAGACGAATTGATTGCATTGGGAAAGTCAGCTGTCAGGGACCTCTCAAGAGTACTGAAGAGCAATGACGTCAGATGGAGACTAAGGTGCGCCTGATCTAGGCTATAGTCTTTGCAATTACGTGCTATGCATTGGAGAGTTGGACAGTGAATAGGGATGATAGAAAGAGAATTGATGCCTTTGAGCTGTGGTGCTGGAGAAGAGTGTTGACTATACCATGGATTGCTAGGAGAACAAACAGGTTTGTCGTGGAGAGGGTGAAGCCAGAATGTTCCTTGGAGTCAAGGATTCTGAAGCTTCGTCTGACATACTTTGGGCATGTTGCAAGAAGGGACTGGTCCTTGCAGAGGGACATCATGTTTGGGAGAGTGGAGGGATGGTGCAGGAGAAGAAGACCCTCGATGAGATGGATCGATTCTGAGTGGAATGGTGGGAATGAGTGTATTTGAGACAGTGAGGCTGGCAAAGGATAGAACAGCATTTAGGGCTCTTGTACATAGGGTCGCTATGAGCTGCAAGGGACTCAACGGCACATAACAAAAACAACATCATGAGTCATGTTTGACTTGGCGGCACTAACCACCACCACCACCACCACCACCACCACCATATTTTCAACTTAAATCATAACCTTCAAATAACTGCATAACTTTGGTCCAATCTCAAATATTCATCTCCTATTTCAATATTAAGTTTGGGATTTGCAGTTCAATCATCATCTCCTCTCTTCACACTTTTGGTCTGAGCTTAAACTTAAGTAATTAAAGTTAATTACAGAATATAAGTAAC